ATTTTATTATATATAGGCTATAGTACTTTAGGCCCAGTTTAAGATATTATATATTTTTTATATAATTATATTTTTTTATTAGATAGGGCTGGAAGCAGCAACCTCCGGATCTGTATTTTAAACTATTTTTTAGCTGTTTAGATTTAACTTATAATTATAGCTTAGAAAAAACAGTAAAAATCCTATAGCTGTACTTATACAGCTGTTAATTACCAACTCTACTAAAAGTAGCAGATTTACCTAGTTTTTTTAGTTGTAGTTTATATAGGCTTTTAAATATACTTTAATAGTACTATTTATATATTTTATAACTTTATCTGTTTAAAAATAATAGACTGTAGACAGTCTTTTAGTAATTTTTAATAAATTATATTTTTTTTTATATATAACTTATAAACTAGATGCCTTAATCTAAGATTATAGTTTTTAAAAGGCTGTATTATTTAAAAACTGTTTTAACTAAGGTCTTAGCTGTAGCTTTAGTAGTAATCTTTTTTATTATATAAAATATTACTTTTTTTATTAGTTTATTTGTAATTACTAGAATATTTGTATACAATTTATTTTTAGATAAGTTAGTAATAAAATTTATTATTAGTTTTTATTAAAATTAATCTAGTATTAGCAGCAGCTTTAGTAATCTGTACTTTAGTTTTTTTTATAACTTTATATAACTGTAGATATTATAGTTTTAAATATATTTTTATATATCCTAGGATATATTAGGCCAGAAGTATATTTTACTAAAAAAAAATAAATCTGTTCTTAGCCGGAATATTCTATAATAAAAAAATTATAGTTATTTTAGATAAGATCTGTACAAAGCAGTTTGTAGTTGGAAACCTACTATTTTTTTAAAAGTATATTTAAGCTTCTTCTATTAAACATTTGCTTAGAAAGACTTTTAGTTTTAATTAAAGTAGAAATTTATATACTTTTTTTTATATAAGCTTTACTAGGTTTTAATAATCTATATCTACTACTAAAATATAGATTTAGCTGTTTTTAAATCTGTCTTTTAGTTTTAGCAGTTCTATAATAGTCTGCTATATCTATTTTAAAAAGTCTTTATCTAGTTTTATATTATATTTTTATAACTATACTGGGGCCGCGGTAAGTAAACTAGTCTTAGATTTTAAATCTCCTTTTAATATTCTATTAAAAATCTGTATTATATAGGATAATATTTTAGGATTTTATTTATTAGGTATATTCTGTTTCTGTTATAAGAGGGCGTCTGCTTACTTATTCTCTATTTCTTTTTAATAAACTAATTTAAAGTTAAATCTACTTAAAATCAAGCTTTATTATATATATCTTTTTATAGGTTTATATAGCTTAAAGAAGTATTCTAAATTCTTATAGTTAATAACTATTATAAACCCCAGTACTAAGTATAATTTAGTATTCTAAGCTTTTAGATACTATATAACTACTAGCAGTTTTTTATTATAAATCTTATAATTATACTTAGCTAGTATATTTTATTTAAAAAAGTAGGTGTAAGAATACAGCTCTCTATTTTTATCCATCTAAAAAAGTATTTTTTCTGTATTATAGTCTAAAAAATCTGTCTCTATTATTATTATATATTTAGAATTAAAAGAACAGAGAACAGGCTTGGTTGTAAACTTTTTTTTTAATATCTAGAAGCTGGTCTTATATTTTTAGATTTATTAAAAAAACTAATTTTTTTTAGTTAGATTTATAAGTAGTTGTACAGTAGCTGAAAATCTAAAGATAAATTTACAGTAAAGATTTATAAATTTTAAAAAGCTTTAGACAGCTTTTACTAACTTAGGGCTTTTTTATAAAGTAATTATTTTAACTTTTTTAGAATCTATTTTAATACCTTATCCTATATGTACAACAAATCTAAGATAGAGAGTTTTCTTTTTTTTAAACTTATACTTTTTAATATTTAAAAATAAGCCGGCTTTCTTTAGTTTTTATAATACTTTTTATATATGTTTACAGTACTTTTTAATATCTTTATTTATATAGATTAATATATTATTAATATAGGCTAAACAGAATTTATTAAGATATTTGCATAGTACCCAGTCAATATATTTTTAAAAGATATTTAGAGTATTTATTAGTTTAAAAGATATTACTAGCTATTTATATAGCCTATACTATATATAAAAGGCTGTCATCTATTTCGAACCCTTTATAATATAGATTTTATAAAAAACGGATGAAATATCTAGTTTAATAAACTATTTTATTTTTCTAATTTGATTTAGGGTCTTATAAATCAGGGAAAGTAGATAGCAGTTTTTTTTTATAATTATATTAAATACTTAGTAATTTATACAGAATTTTAATTCTTTTTCTAGCTTTTATATAAAAAGTACTGGGGCTGCTGCTAAAAAGTAACTAACCTATATAAAGTTCTTTTCTAATAGTTTAGTTAGTTTGGACTATAGGACTATTAGTTTTTTTAGAATATATTATAAAAAAGGCCCTATAGAACTTCTGATTTTTTTTTATTTTAATATATAAGCTTAATTTTATAGTTAATATCCTTTTTTTAGTATAGCAGTAGTTTCTCTATATTTTCTAATTAAAAGAAAGACAGAAAGTCCTAATAGTATTTAAAAAGTATTATATATAGATTAACTGTCTTCTTAGTTTAAAATACTTTTTAAATATTAGTAAATAAAACTGTAAATACTTTTATACTTTTTTTAGATCTTTTCTACAGATAGTTTTTAAATTCTGTTTTTATAATTAGCTGAAGTCTTAGATTTATATACTATAAATATAGTAGGTCTCTTAGTCTTATTTTAGTTATATATAAAAATAATTATTCTTAATCCAGTTTTAGAATCCTATTATAACAGAACAGCCAGCTTTTCCCTAGAATTAGATTATATTTAAGATTATTAAATATTATATAAAAATATGCTTTTTTTTAGTATAAGATTCTATATCTATTTTTATCTGTATAATAGAGTAAATTAGTATTTTATTATCTAAGATTTCTTATACCAGTCTTAGATTAATACTAATAGTTAACAGGCTATTTACTTTAGTAAATACTTTACTTATAATACTATAGATTAGATATTCTAAGTTAATAAGAGTATAGATAATTATAGTAAGATTTAAAATAGCCTTTACTAAAAAGAAGTATACAACTATATATTTTTTTTTAAAACTTTTTTATTTCTTTTTAGTTTTATCCAGTAATTTTTATCTAGGTATATAATTTTATACTAAACTTTTTTTTTTCTAAGTTAGAGTCTTTATCTAATAAGATATACTATTTTTTTTATTACTAAGGGGTGGGTATAGCTGCAGCTATACTTATTAGTTATACAGCAGGTTTTAGAAAATACTAGTAAATAAAATATTTATTTTATTTATAATAAAAATAATAATCTGTTTTATATTTTTTTTATATTTTACTAGGTATTATCTATTAAGCCTATTTCTAAAAGTTATTAGTTATTAAATAGAAGTATTATTTTTCTTACTATACAGCAGCTATCTAAGTAGGCTTTTACTTTATTAATTTAAGACTTAGTTTATATTACACCGGTATAGTTTTAGTATAGCTTTTTTTAAAAAAAATATTTTATTAAAATTATAATTTATACAGCGCAGTTTGTTGTAATAATCTTTATATATAGGTTTTTAAAAAATTCTAACTAATTTTTTAATAAGCCTTTAGTTTACTGCAGTATTTAGTATAGCTTTTTTTTATTTATCTAACTAATTATACCCCCCTACTTATAGCAGAGCTTTATTAAAGTTATTTAAAAATTCTTTTAGTTCTATTTTTTTTTATTTTATTATATTTACTCAGTTTAGGGCTTTTTATTATATATTAGGGTTTCCAAATATCTTATCTATTATTATAAGTATATTTTTAAATTATACTATTTTAGTATTTTAAAATTTAATCTAAAAAAGCATCTGCTGTACTGCCTGTTTATATAGTTAACTATTAATATAAAAAACTTATTCCAGTCTAATAAAATAGTAATTTCTATTAATTACAAATTTTATATATATATTTAATTTAAATAGTTTATAATTGTACTTATCTTTTTTATTAAATAATTCTATATTAGAATATTAAAAATAAGATCTGTAGTTTAGCTTATATAGTTGCTGTAGGGGGTTTTCTTTTAATTTACTATTAACAGTAGGAGTTATATTATAACTCTATAATTTATTTATCTGCTTTTTAAAAACTAGTTTTTATTTTACTATTTTTATACAGAGGCTGATTAGCTTCTATAAAAAAAGTTGTATATTATTATATATAGCTGCAGATACTGCAGTCGGCTGCAGTTTTTTCTAATCTATTTATTCTATTATTCTAATAATTCTTTTAGTTTTATTTTATTTTATTTATATATCTAGTCGGGCTCTGTCTAGGGCTTTTTAATAAGCTATTTCTAATATTATAAAACAGATAGATTATACTAATTAAAATATATCTTAAAATAAAAAGAAATAGCTAAAGAACTATTTTATCTGTTTATACAAAATTTCTTTATATATATACTAAGCTAGTGCTAGTTTAGTATTTAGTATACAAGACCTCAGGTGCCAACTGGTGCCTGAAGCTAAGCTCTATAACAGGGCCTTAGTCCCATAACAACTATATAGCTGTTTAAATAGTAAAATAAAATCTATATAAACTATAAATTTAAAAATTATAATATATATTATAGCTACTATAATTTAGATAAGTCTAAATATAAGCCTGCAGTAATTACTACTCTTTTTTTAAAATATTATTAAAAAATTAATAGATTAAATTAGTATATAAGCTAAATTTGGTATAGTAGTATTTAGTTTTTTTATTAAATTAAATACAGCTTTTTTTGATTGATTTTAAAAAATTAAAAAAGAGCCTTTCTTTTTTTTTATTTTTTTTTATTTTATTTTAGATTTGTACAAACCAGAGCTGAGGGGAAAAAATATTAGTATTAGTTTTTTTTATTTTAGTTTTTATTTATTTAATAGTTAGTTAAAGTTTAGCTGGGACTACAGCTGCTATTATATAGCTGCTTTTATATTATTAAATATTAAAGCTGGTTTTTAGATTAATTTTATATAGTTTTTTTATTTAATAAAATACTATAATTAGCTCTTCCAGCCTTTTATTATAAACTATTTATTAAAAATTTCTTTAACTTTATATTTTTTTTTACTGTTAACTATTATAGGCGGTGGTTGTAAGTTTCTTTTATTTTATAATAATAATATATTATCAGCTGTTAGATAAAGTAGATTAATATAAAATATAAAATAAATATTATTTAATATATTAAATTATATAGTACATAATTTTATTCTTTTTAAAATAGTATATTTTATATTTTTCTAGTGTAGCTTTTTGCTAGGATAATTTATATAGATATTTTATAGATTTAACTATACTTAATTACTTTTTTAATATAATAAAATGGCTTATTAGAATTAATTAGCCTATTTTTTAGTATTTTATTATATATAGGCTATAGTATTTTAGACCTAGTTTAAAATATTATATATTTTTTATATAATTATTTCTTTTTATTCAACAAAGCTGAAGGTAGTAACCTCCGGGTTTATATTTTAAACTATTTTATAACTATTTAGATTTAACTTATAATTATAATTTAAAAAAAATAGTAAGAATTTTATAGCTGTATTTATACAGCTCTTAATTATTAACTCTGTTAAAAGCAGCAGATTTATTTAGTTTTTTTAATTATAGTTTATATAAGCTTTTAGATATACTTTAACAATACTATTTATATATTTTATTATTTTATCTATTTAAAAATAATAGGCTGTAGATAGTTTTTTAATAATTTTTAATAGATTATATATTTTTTTTATATATAACTTATAAACTGGGTGCCTTAATTTAAAACTATAGTTTTTAAAAGACTGTATTATTTAAAAATTATTTTAATTAGAATTTTAGCTGTAGCTTTACTAGTAATTTTTTTTATTATATAAAATATTACTTTTTTTATTAGTTTATTTATAATTACTAGAATATTTATATACATCTTACTTTTAGATAAGTTAGTAATAAAATTTATTATTAGTTTTTATTAAAATTGATCTAATATTAGCAGCAGCTTTAGTAATCTATACTTTAATTTTTTTTATAGCTTTATATAACTGCAGATATTGTAGTTTTAAATATATTTTTATATATTTTAGAATATATTAGACTAGAAGTATATTCTGCTCAAAAAAATAAATCTATTTTTAATTAGAATATTTTATAATAAAAGAATTATAATTGTTTTAAATAAGATCTATATAAAGTAGTTTATAGTTAGAAATTTATTATTTTTTTTAAAAGTATATCCAAGCTTCTTCTGTTAAATATTTATTTAAAAAAACTTTTAATTTTAGCTGGAATAAAAATTTATATACTTTTTTTTATATAAGCTTTGCTAGGTTTTAATAATCTATATCTATTACTAAAATATAGGTTTAGCTGTTTTTAAATCTAGTTTTTAGTTTTAACAGTTTTATAATAATCTGCTATATTTATTTTAAAAAGTTTTTATCTAATTTTATATTATATTTTTATAACTGTACTAGAACTGCAGTAAGTAAACTAGTTTTAGATTTTAGATTTTTTTTAATATTTTATTAAAAATCTGTATTATATAAAACAATATTTTGGAATTTTATTTATTAGATATATTTTATTTTTATTATAAAAAGGTATCTGCTTACTTATTTTTTATTTCTTTTTAATAAACTAGTTGAAAATTAAATTTATTTAAAATTAAGCTTTATTATATATATCTTTCTATAAGTTTGTATAATTTAAAAAAGTATTTTAAATTCTTATAGTTAGTAACTATTATAAACTTTAATACTAAATATAATTTAGTATTCTAAGCTTTTAGATACTATATAACTGCTAGTAGTTTTTTATTATAAATCTTATTATTATACTTGGCTGGTATATTTTATTTAAAAAAATAAATATAAAAATATAGCTCTTTATTTTTATCTATCTAAAAAAATATTTTTTTTATATTATAGCCTAAAAAGTCTGTCTCTACTACTATTATATATTTAAAATTAAAAAAACAGAAAATAGGCTTAATTATAAACTTTTTTTTTAATATCTAAAAGCTGGTCTTATACTTTTAGATCTATTAAAAAGGCTGATTTTTTTTAGTTAGATTTATAAATAATTGTATAGTAGCTGAGAATCTAGAAATAAATTTACAGTAAAAGTTTATAAATTTTAAAAAGCTTTAGACAGCTTTTACTAATTTAAAGCTTTTTTATAAGATAATTATTTTAATTTTTTTAGAATCTATTTTAATACCTTGCTCTATATATATAATAAATCTAAAATAAAGAGTTTTCTTTTTTTAAACTTATATTTTTTAATATCTAAAAACAGACCGGCTTTTTTTAGTTTCTGTAATACTTTTTATATATATTTATAGTACTTTTTAATATTTTTATTTATATAAATTAATATATTATTAATATAGGCTGAACAGAATTTATTAAAATATTTATATAATATTTAGTTAATATATTTTTAAAAAATACTTAGAGTATTTATCAGTCTAAAAAGTATTACTAGCTATTTATATAGCCTATACTATATATAAAAAACTATTATTTATTTTTAATTTTTTATAATATAGATTTTATAAAAGATAAATAAAATATTTAGTTTAGTAAACTATTTTACTTTTCTAATTTGCTTTAGGGTTTTATAAATTAAAAAAAGTAGATAGCAGTTTTTTTTATAATTATATTAAATACTTAGTAATCTATACAGAATCTTAATTTTTTTTAGTTTTTATATAAAGAGTACTGGGGCTGCTGCTGAAAAGTAACTAATTTATATAAAGTTTTTTTTTAATAGTTTAATCAGTTTAGACTATAAAACTATTAGTTTTTTTAAAATATATCATAAAAAAAGCTCTATAGAACTTCTAGCTTTTTTTTATTTTAGTATATAAGCTTAATTTTATAGTTAATATTCTTTTTTTAGTATAACAGTAGTTTTTCTGTGTTCTCTAATTAAAAGAGAGGCAGAAAGTTTTAATAGTATTTAAAAAATATTATATATAGATTAATTATTTTTTTACTTTAAAATACTTTTTAAATATTGGTAAGTAAGACTGTAAATATTTCTATACTTTTTTTAGATCTTTTCTATAAATAGTTTTTAAATTCTGTTTTTATAATTAGCTAAAGTTTATATTTGTATATTATAAATATAATAGGTCTTTTAATTTTATTTTAATTATATATAGAAATAATTATTTTTAGTTTAGTTTTAGAATACTATTATAGTAAGACAGCCGGCTTTTTTCTAGGATTAAATTATATCTAAAATTATTAAATATTATATAAAAATATGCTTTTTTTTTAGTATAGGATCCTATGTTTATTCTTATCTATATAATAAAGTAGATTAGTATTTTATTATCTAAAATTTCTTATACCAGTCTTAGATTAATACTAATAGTTAACAGGCTATTTATTTTAGTAAATATTTTTCTTATAATACTATAAATTAGATATTTTAAATTAATAAAAGTATAGGTAGTTATAATAAGATCTAAAATAGCCTCTACTAAAAAAAAATGTATAATTATATATTTTTTTTTAAATTTTTCTACTTTCTTTTAGTTTTGTCTAGTGATTTTTATTTAGATATACAACTTTATACTAAACTTTTTTTTTCTAAATTAAAGTTTTTGTTTAAAAAAATATACTATTTTTTTTACTACTAAAAAACAGATATAGCAGCAGCTATACTTATTAGTTATATAATAGGTTTTAAAAAATATTAGTAAATAAGATATTTATTTTATCTATAATAAAAACAGTAGTCTGTTTTATATCTTTTTTATATTTTACTAGATATTATTCATTAAGCCTATTTCTAAAGGTTGTCGGTAGTTATATAAAAGTAGTATTTTTTTTACTATACAGTAGTTATCTAAATAGGTTTTTACTTTGTTAGTTTAAAGCTTAGTTTATATTATATTAATATAGTTTTAATATAGCTTTTTTTAAAAAAAAAATATTTTAAGATTGTGATTTATATAGTGCAGTTAGTTATAATGTTATGGGACTAAGGCCCTGTTATAGAGCTCGGCTTCAGGCACCAGTTGGCACCTGAGGCCTTGCATATTAAGTACTAAACTAGCACTAGCTTAGTATATATATAAAAAAATTTTATACAAACAGATAAAATAGCTTCTTAGCTATTTCTTTTTATTTAAAGGTATATTTTAATTAGTATAATCTATTTATTCTGTAATATTAGAAATAGCTTATTAAAAAGCCCTAAACAGAGCCCAATTAGATATATAAATAAAATAAAATAAAACTAAAAGAATTATTAAAATAATAAAATAAATAGATTAAAAAGAACTGCAGCTGACTGTAGTATCTACAACTATATATAATAATATATAACTTTTTTTATAAAAGCTAATCAGCCTTTATATAAAAATAGTAAAACAGAAACTAGTTTTTAAAAAGTAGATAAATAAATTACAGAGTTATAATACAACCTCTACTATTAATAGTAAACTAGGGGGAAATCTTTTATAGTAACTATATAAGCTAAACTATAAACCCTATTTTTAATACTCTAATATAAAATTATTTAATAAAAAAAATAAATATAACTATAAATTATTTAAATTAAATATATATATAAAATTTATAATTAACAAAAATTATTATTTTACTGGGCTGGAATAAGTTTTTGTTACGGGACGGATGGATTGTGCTAATTGAAACGTGCCTTAGAACAAGAAGAAATAGCTGAGGAGCTATTTCACCTGTTCGTACGAAATTCTTTTATGTGTGCGCTAAGCTAGTGCTAGTTTAGTACTTAGTATGCGAGGCCTCAGGTGCCAACTGGTGCCTGAAGCCGAGCTCTATAACAGGGCCTTGGTCCCATAACAGTTTTTTATATTTATAATTAACTATATAAACAGACAGCACAGCAGATACTTTTTTAGATTAAATTTTAAAATACTAAAACAGTACAACTTAAAGATATGCTTATAGTAATAAATAAAATATTTAAAAACTTTAATATATAATAAAAAGTCCTAAACTAGATAAATATAATAAAATAAAAAAAAATAGAACGAAAAGAATTTTTAAACAACTTTAACAAAACTCTGCTATAAGCAGGGGGGTATAATTAGTTAGATAAATAAAAAAAAACTATACTAAATACTACAGTAAACTAAAGATTTATTAAATAATTAGTTAGAATTTTTTAAAATCCTATATATAAAGGTTATTACAACCAACTGCACTATATAAATTATAATTTTAATAAAATATTTTTTTTTAGAAAAAGTTATACTAAGACTGTGCCGGTGTAATATAAAGCAAGCTTTAAACTAATAAAATAAAACCCTACTTAGATAGTTACTATATAGTAAGAAAGATACTACTTGTTATGGGATGAACTTAGATTGGTTCTAACCTAAGCATACCGTACAAACAAGAAGAAATAGTTAGAGAATAGAAAGATTACAGAGGTCTGGTAGAAAAATAAAAAGACTGTAGTTATATACAGCAAGTATTATAAATCTATTCTATAACAGTACCCCCTCTTTTATTTAGATCTTTAAAAAAGACTGTTTACTGAAGCAGGTACTGAGTATAAAACTATATACTATAATTTTTATATAAAATTTGTTTTAGATTTTAAAAGACTTTTTACAGTTGGAAATCTAGTAGTTGTTTAACCTATAATACAGATAAAAATTATTTTTAAAATAATAAAAACAGTAAGATAAAATAGATATAATAAATAAAACTAATAAGCTTAGATAAGCTGTAAATATTTTTATAGAATCTATATCTATTAGCTCCGGTCGGGTAAGTATAGTAAGCTTTAAAATAGGTTTAATAGTAGATTTAAAAATTAGTTAAATAGTATATTAGTTGGAATACTAAATAAGTTTAATATATTTATTATATAAGTAGTTAAATATTAAATTATTAAAATTTTCTAAAGTCTGATACAGGTTTAATTATAATCTTTAGTAAAGTATAGTTATATATAAAATATCCAGCCAGGCAATTATATCAGCTTTGTATAAAAATTATTTAAAATATATAAAATAAATAATAAGTAATTTATTATTTCTTTAGTATATTAATATAAATTATTAAATAGTTTTCTATTATTTGTACAGGTTATAATATAATTATATAAAAAATTAAAAAATAGTTTTTAGATCCTAGGATTGTTTATTTTCTGCAAGCTGGCAGAGGTGTAGAATTAAAGCCTATTAAAACTATTTTAATTAATTTTAGATATAGTTAAAAGTATTAGTTTTAAAAAGTTGGTTAGATTATAGCTTTATTTTAATAAAAAAAGCTATATATATAGTATATACAGCTTGCTGTTAAAGCAAGGCAGATTAGACAGACAGATTTTAAATACTAAATATACAATCTATTATATATAAAGCTGTTAGATTTTAGTATAAGATATATTTAGATTAGTATATAGCTGCTGGATTTTAGTATATTAGTTTTAGAGTTCTTACTAAAGCTGCTGTACTAGCAGAATAAAAAATATTAATTTAGATATTATAAAAAAAATTTATATAATTAAATAAAACAGGCAGATTAGAACAGGACTAGTAAAACTTTTATTTTAAAGTATATAATAATTACTTAATTACTATTACTAGTAGATAAGTAAACTATTTCTAATATTATAAAATAAACTTAGATTAGTTCTAACCTAAGTGTGCCGTACAAACAAGAAGAAATAGTTAGAGAATAGAAAGATTACAGAGGTCCGGTGGGAAGATAAAAAGGCTGCAGTCATATACAGCAAGTGTTGCAGGTCTGTCCCATAACAACTAATACTTTTAATTTTTTATTTAATTTATATTTATTAGTAAGTAAGCTTCAAGTATATAGTTATATATAGTATATAAGTATTTAGATTATTATTAAAATAGCTTTTTTAACTAACTAGTTTGAAATTAGCTATTAAAGTATACAGATATTTTTTTTATATATATTTAGTTTTATTAAGTTATTTATATAGTAAGCTTTTCATTTTATTTTTAAATAGCTGGCTGGCCTACTAGTGATTTAATTAAATAAATATTCATTACTATAAGTAATAAATTATATGTAGTAAAACTATTATTTAAAACATGTAAAACTGTTCTTTAAATTTTTTTTATATTTTACTTATAAATCTACTAACTATATGTTACGGGACGGATGGATTATACTAATTAAAATATACCTTAGAATAAGAAAAAATAGCTGGAAAGCTATTTTATCTGGTTGTATAAAACTTTTTTTATATATATAATAAGCTATTACTAGTTTAGTATATAGTATATAAGGCCTTAGATACTAACTAGTATCTAAAGCTAAGCTTTATATTAAAATTTTAGTTCTATAACAGAAGCCCTTTTTTCTTTTTATTATTTTCTACAGCTTTTATTTGTATAAACAGCTTTTTAGAATTTAAAGCAACAGTTTCATACTTTAGCCCTTTTAAATAATATTATAGCTGGTTAGTAGATAATATATATATAAGTAAAATTTATTTTATCTATTATAGCTTTTTTTTATATAATTTTTTTTATTTAGTAAATATAATAATCTTTTAGTAAATAAAAATTTTTTATACTATTTATATACCCAGTTTTAAAAATATAGTCAGGCTTAGCTACTAATTTTATATAAAATATATAAACTATTGTATAAAAAGGCCATCCCCCCTTTTTTAGTTTTTATATATATATATATTTTTTTTTCCCCTCTTTATTACTAGTTTATTTTTTTTATTTATATAATTTTTATTATTTCTTCTGCTTGTCTATATTATGCCTTTTTTTCTAATACTAAGGCTGATAAGTCTATTTACTTAGATATTATACTAATTTTTATTTATTATAAATTTTTTTAAATCTTTACTGCTTTTACTAACTGTAATTTATTTTTTTATTTATATAATATATAAATATTTATAATCCCTGTACTGGTAATACAAAGTATTAAATTACTATATAATTAATAGTTATATAAAAATAAAACCCTACTTTAACTTTACTATACTTTAAATTAGCAGTATATTTAGTATTCTTTTTACTATAAATTTAAAATAAAGATTAGTACTTTTACTATAGCTTAGATAAAAAATCTAATAGTACTTTTATATAAAATATTAATAAAGTTAAATATATAATAAATATTCTTTTTATATTAATAATCTTTTAATTATATTTTATAATTTAGTAATATTATATTATTATAAATATAATAATTAAATAAAGTTTTAGCAGACTGTATAACTGTTTAAATAATAAAGATAAGCCTATATTAAATATAAGTTTAAAAATTATAGTATATATTATAGTTATTATAATTTAAATAAGTCTAAATATAAGTCTACAGCAATTGCTGCTTTTCTTTATAATATTATTAAAAAATTAATAAACTAAAGTAGATATATAAACTAAATTTAGTATAATAGTAATTAATTTTTTTCTTAGATTAAATACAGCTTCCCTTAGCTAGTTTAAAAAATTGTAAAAACTTCTCCCCTTTTTTATTATTTATTTTTATTTATTTTTATTTAATTTTATTTAATTTTATTTATTTTTATTTAATTTTATTTAATTTTATTTATTTTTATTTATTTTTATTTATTTTTATTTATTTTTATTTATTTTTATTTTTATTTAGGGTTTGTACAAACTGGAGCTGAGGAGAAAAAATATTAATATTAATTTTTTTTACATTTTAGTTTTTATTTATATAATAGTTAGTTAGAGTTTGGCTGGGGCTGTAGCTGCTATTTTATAACTACTTTTATAACAGTTCTTCAAGATATTAACAAGAATCATTGTTATTGTATTATTGTTTACTAACTATACTATATATAAAAGATCTCTAAAAGCAGTAAAGTATATAGTAGTAATCTACTATACTATTACTATCTATACTATTAGTAATAGTATCTTTTCTTTTAAGATTAGTATTTTTATTAGTAAATATTTATTTATATTAACTATTAATAAACAATCAGACAGTCTGAATAGCTTTATTTTAACTAATCAGCTAGTTATTAAATTAATTTAAAATAATATTATACTTAGCTAGTTAGGCTTATTTAATAGTATTAACAAATTCGGCTGTAATACAGTTATATTTAGTAAAGGTATTATTATACTTAATAGCTATACTATTATATTTAGTAGTTAGACAGTTATATTTAATAGTAAGATTATTATACTTAATAGTTAAATAGTTATACTTAGTAGTAAGATTATTATACTTAGTAGTCAGACAGTTATACTTAATAGTAAGATTATTATACTTAGTAATTAAACAGTTATACTTAGCAGTAAGATTATTATACTTAGTATTATCTTTTTTTAGGGTTTAATATACCTTTTTATAGTTATTTATCTACTTATTATACTTAGTAGTAACTATAGTAATATTAATAATTAGTTAGTTATATTTTAATATTACTTTTTTTATAGCTTTTTGCTGTTTTAAGATATTTATTTATTTTTTAAAATTTATATAATTAGTAGTAGATATTAAATATTATTTATAAACTAGCTGAAATACAGTACTTTATACTATATAACTAATACCCTATTAATAGTTTTTCTATATAAAAAATACTATATAGATTAATTAAAAAATTATTTATATATCTGGATTGTTAATATTTACTATTATCTGCTGTAGTAATTTTATTTTTATTAAATATAGTTACTGGGTAGTTCTTTATAAGTTTATTTTTATTTTTTTTATTATTATTTTAAATAATCTTATTAAGTTTGGTCTTAAAAGCATTCTTACTAGTATTAGTTAGTTAAAAAAAATAAAAAAGTTATATTTTTACTAGTACTGGATCTTCCTCTATTATAGTAGTTTTTTTATAAAAAACTTAAATACTACTAGAACCTTTTTCTGGTGTTGTTTAAAAATAATAGTTATTATATAGTATTTAATAAGTTCTGCTCTTTAATTATTCTTATTTATAAAGTTTTTATCTTAAATAATATTTTTTATTATAATTTTTTCTACTTCTGTTACTGTGTGCTGGTTCCAGTAACTATATTCTATATATAAATAAATAAGTTAAAATATATAATTATAAAGAATATTTTTATTAAGCTTAATATTATTATTTTTTATTATACCTATAGTAATAGCAGGTATTAGGGGTTCTTTAAACTAAGATATAAAAAAAGTAGTTTAGTATAGCAAAAATTGTTAGAAAAAATATAATATTATATAAACAAAAGCTTAATAAAAGAAATAATAATTTTAGTATAATTAAAACTGCTGTTTTTTTTAAATAGTTAGAGATTTTTAAGGTATTGCTGCTCTAAGCTGTTACACCTTTTTTTATTATTTTATTAGATTTAAAAGTAATATAAAAAGATATAAAAAAATAAAATTAAAAAATAAAATAAAATAAATATACAGTATAAGATAAGTATAAAAGTTAGATTCTAAAAAAATAAAGTAAAATAAGTAAGAAATAATACTATACTATATAAAATAAATATTAATAGTAATATATTACTAGACTATAAGATGCTAGTTGTAGTTTGTTATAAATTAACTATTTATGTTTTTTATATTTTTTTTATACTTTTCAATAAGATTGTTGGCTTTAATATTATAATTATATACCTACTAATTTTTATTTAATAAATAATCTTACTAGTAGATTAAATGTTTTATATAGTATTAGAGTGGCTAACGGCCAGGTCAGGTCAGGTTAATTAGAATTTTTATATCTAACCGCCAGGTTATAGCTAGATTAAGGAAATTTTTATACCTAACTGCAGTATAGCTAAAAATCAGGCAGTTAACTGTTTTAATTATTTTTAGTACTAAGTTTTATTTACTATACCCCTTTTAGCTCTAGTACAGTTAAAGTATATTTAGATTAATAAGTTATTAATCTAAGTATTTTAACTATTGCTGAAAAGTATATAAAAAAAGATTTCTAAATTAATTAAAAATAACTAAGTAAAGTATTACTATCTTTTTTATCTCTATTTATAAAAAATAATAAGAAATTTCTAGTAGTATTAATAAATTCCAGCTTTTTATAAGATTATTATTTTTATAGTAAGAAATATATATAAAAATATATAATTACAGTAGTGTTTAGACTGTATATAATATAATATAAATCTTTATATCTAATCTTATTAACTTTTTTAATTTTAATAATTTTAATTATTCTACTAATCTAATTAATCTTTTTAATACTAATAATTTTAATTACTTTATTAATCTAATTAACTTCTTTGATTTTTTTAATTCTAATAATTCTAAATATTCTGTTAATCTAAATCTGTTTAAGATTTTATACTATACTACTTATTTAGTCTTTTTAATAAATATACTTTTTAATAACTATTTAGTTTAATATTAAATACTATATTTTTATAGTAGGTTCTGCAAAAGTCTTTTCTAAATATAAAAATAAGATTTTTAATTTATTTAATCTAGTTGGCTTTAAGTATTTATAATTTTAGACTTTAGATATAATTTTTTATTTACTAAATTTAATAAAATATATAAAGTACAGCAGGTGCTTTAGCTGTATATTAAAATATAATAAATTATATTTATATAAAAATATATTTTAAAATAAAATAAACTATTTTTATAAAGTTTTTTATTTTTATTCTTTTATATTTATTATTTATAAAGTAGTTTTAGAATTATAAGTTAATTACAGTTATCTAGCTTACTTTTAAAAAATACTATTAAATCTTTTTCTTCTGTTTTTTAGATCTTTATAAATTATAATAATACTTAAATTAAAATAAGTTTTTTAACCCATATTTTTTTTAAATCTTAAGATTATATATATTGTAAAGAATTAAAAGATTATTTTCTATCCAACTTTTTAGAAAAATTCCTATTTTTTAAAATTAGTAGTAGAAGATAATCTTTTTTAAAATCTGTATACAAGCTTAAAAACCACTATTTTACTTTAATTAAAAAAAGTTATTAATAATATAAAAAAGCTTTTAAAAAATATATTATTTTTTAATTGAATTTTTTATATTTACTGTACTGCATGCCTTTATATTTTATAATATTAAAAATTAAAAACTTAAAAACTAGTTTTATAAGCTATTATTTTTATAAGAATTATAAAAAAAATACTATTAGTTATATCTAAGTAAACAATTAGTTAGATACTAAGTAAAAAACTATTATAAATATTTACTTATTTTTTTATTTTTTAAAAATAAATCTTTTTTAATTATTACTTTCTCTAGACCTCTACAGCCTATAATAAATAAAATTTCTAAAATTAAATTTTATATTTTATAACTATTTATTGCCTACTATTCCAAACTATTAAATATATTTAATTTAAATAGATAATTAATTTTACTATTTTATTTTTTTATTAAAAACCAAGTCCTATTAATTAAGTATAGATTAAAAAATATTTTTTAAAGTTGTTAAAAAATATATATATACAGCTGTTATTAAAGTTTTTAGATAATAAATAAATATTAATTATAATAGACTACTAGACCAGCTCTAATTAAAAAGTATTTTTTACTTTAACTTAATATTTTTTAATAAAAAATATAGATTATTATAAAGTTTTACTAGGCTTCTAACTAGTATTTAGATGTTATACTAGTAAAAGTCTAGCTATAATTATTCTATTAGTTTTATATAAATATAATCTGGCCTATTAGTTATTAAATATAATAACTAATAATACTAATAATAATAATTTAATATTTAATATAATCTTATTTAAATTTTAAGCCCAGCTTAGCCAGAGCACCCAGCTTTATAATACTTTAATTAATTCTAACCTTTTAAAAATTATTTAAAGCTAGTATTATATATTTTATTTTATTTATATAATTTAGCTTATAGTTAATACTTTTTCATAAAAACTTTAAATTAAGATCTTAAACAGTACTATTAAATATATATAAAAAATTATAATAAAAGTCTTAAAACCTCTTCTAATATTTTAAAAACTTTTAAAAAGATATATTCTAAAAGCTATTTATAAAAAACTAATACAAACAGTTTTTACTGTTTATATTAAAAGCCGTTTATATTAGCTTTTTATAAATAGCTTTTAAAAGTCTTGTTTTAGTAATTGCTTATTATACTAATTTTTAATTATAGATTTAAAAGATTATATAATTTATAAATATAAACTTTTATTACTATAAAAAGTTTTAGCTCATTTAATAATTTAAATTTAGATTAGTTTACTATCTTCTTTTAAACTGTAAAACCTGCTGGAACTTAATTTATTTTATAATTTATTAAATATTTAATTTTTATTACGTAATTAAAAGTTTTATTTAGTACTGTAAGTATAGTAATATTAATTATTTTTATCCTATTATAATTAAATAAAAATAGATAGAGTATCTTTTTAAACTTTTATATTTTTTTTATATTCTATCTATTTAAGAACAGTGGGCCTATTATTTATAAGATTTATAATATCTATAATAATCGTTTTGATTATTTAGATTACTTAATTAATTAATTAGTAAAAAAGCAGGTGCTCTGAAAAAAAAGATTTTTAAAAACTTATAAAATATATATTAAAAGCTTTAAAAGTACTACTATTATATCTACTAAATAAAAGACTATATCTATATAATTATAACTATTCTAAACCTAATATTAAAGCTTAAAAAGTTTAAAAAAATATATAGCTTAATAATAATATTAACTAATATAATAAATACTAAACTGTTTTTAAAAAAGTCTTTTATTTTTATTGTAATTAAAATCTAGTAATTAATATACTATTAACTAGCTTTATATTATTATCTGATTTAGATAAAGTCTTTTATAATATTTTTAAATACTAGAGACTTTCACCTGCAGTAGAGCTATCTAAAAAACTTAAAATATATCTAAATATTAAAAGTATATAATTAAAAGAAATATTTTTAATTAAACTAATACTATTTTAGATATTATAGGATATACTAATATTTTTACTTACTAAAAGTTCTACTATAATTAGTTTTTTATTCTCTACTAAATAGCTAGAGATTTTCTTTTAGTTACAACTAATAGTATTAGTATTAAATATTTATTTAATAGTTTTTAAAATATCTGCTACTATTGCTGGAGCTGTTTTTATTCTAATATAATTAAAACAGTTATACTTTAGATATATACTAATTATTTTACTATTAGTAAGAAATATTAGAATATTTTTAATAATCTTAATCCAGACTTAATTATCTTTACATCTAAAAAGTAAGAGAAGGATAAGATAATTACTATTTTTTATATTAATAAAAATAAAAATATAGATAATTTTAAAAATAATTCTAAAAACAGATTATTATTAGTAATAGAAAAACTAGTTTTATCTAAGTCTTTAAATACTATATATATTTAGATAAAGATAGAAACCCGGTCTTTATAATTATTATACTATTATAATTACTGTTCTAAACAGTATAAAAAATAGTATAATATTATTAGTATATTTAATAATAGATATTATTTTTTTATACTAGATTTTATAAAAGTTTTTTATAAAGTACAGTATATTTCTTAGATAGAATATATAGTATAGATTAATCAGATTAATCAGATAGAGCAGATAAAGCAGATAAATTAGAACTAAAAAATATTACTATACTATAATTAAAAATATATTATATTTTATATATTATTTATATAAAAAGAATATATATATTTTAAATTAATCTATAGTTATTAACCTACCTACTATATCTAATCTTTCTAACTTACAGGTATAAACAGTTAAAATAATAGTTATATTTTAATCTAATCTTAACTGTATAGTTAAAAATCTTTTATATCTTAACCTGACTGCCAGGTTATGGTTAGGTGAAGGTTAAGGTATAACAGTCAGGTTAAGCCACTCTAAGCAGACTATTATAAAACTACTAAAGCTAAAAAATAAATCTAAAAATAGCTAAACTTATATTTTAACAGTAGATACAGATTATTAAAACCTAGTAAAACTTATGTAAAAAAATATATAAATTCTTACCCCAGCTGAAACTAAAGGTCTTTTTAAATAAACATTTAATGAAAAAAGCTTAGATATACCTTTTAAAAAAATAGTAAATTCCTAACTATAAACTACTTTATACAGATCTTATTTAAATTAATTATAATTTTTTTATTATAAAATATTTTAGTTAAAAATAGACTTAACTTTTTTTAGCAGAGTATACTTTTAGCCTAATATATTTTAAAATATAAAAAAGTATATTTAAAACTATAATATCTATAATTATATAAAACTATAAAAAAATTAAAGTATAAATTCTTAAAGCTACTGCTAATATTAGATTAATCCTAGTAAAAGCTAATAATAAATTTTATTATTGATTTTTTTAAAAGTAAATTATATATAAATATTTTTATATTTATAGATAGACTAATAAAAAAAGTAATATTTTATATAATAAAAAAGATTACTGCTAAAGCTATAGTTAAAACTTTAATTAAAATAGTTTTTAAATAATAGAGCTTTTTAAAGACTATAATCTTAGATTAAAGTATCTAATTTATAAATTATATATACAAAATATATATAATCTACTAAAAACTACTAAAAGATTATCTACAGCGTATTACTTTTAAATAAATATAATAAATTAAATATATAAATAGTACTGTTAAAGTATATTTAAAAGCTTATATAAATTATAATTAAAAAAACTAGATTAATCTACTGCTTTTAACAGAGCTAGTAATTAACAGCTGTATATATATAATTATAAAATTTTTCATATTTTTTAAACTATAATTATAAGTTAAATCTAAATAGTTAAAAAATAGTTTAAAATATAGATTTGAAGATTACTATCTCCAGTTTTATTTAATAAAAAAAATATAATTATATAAAAAATATATAACATCTTAAACTAGGCCTAAAGTACTATAGTCTATGTATAATAAAATATTAAAAAATAGACTAATTAATTTTAATAAGCTGCTTTATTATATTAAAAGAGTAATTAAATATAATTAAATTTATAAAATATCTATATATATTACTGTAATAAAAAGCCAGATTAGAAAAATATAAAATATACTATTTTAAAAAGATAGAATTATATACTATATAATTTAATATACTATATAATTTAATATACTAAAAAGTATTTATTTTATATTTTATATCAATCTACTTTATTTAACAGCTGATAATATATTACTATTATAAAATTAAAAAAACTTACAACTACTATCCATAATAGTTAATAGTAAAAAAAATATAAAATTAAAAATTTCTTTAATAAATAGTATATAATAAAAGGCTGGAAGAGCTAATTATAGTATCTTATTAAATAAAATGATTATATAAAACCAATCTAAAAGCTAGTTTCAATATTTAATAATATAAAAATAGTTATAAAATAGCAGCTGCAGCCCCAGCCAAACCCTAATTAACTATTATTTAAATAAAAGTTAAAATTAAAAAAAAACTAATACTAATATTTTTTTTCCTTAGCTCCGGTTTGTACAAACCCCAGATAAAAATAAAAAAAAATAATAAAAAAAAAGTCTTTTTTAATTTTTTAAACTAGCTACAAAAAGCTGTACTTAACCTAATAAAAAAATTAATTATTATTATACTAAATTTAGTTTGTATATCTACTTTAATCTATTAACTTTTTAATAATATTATAAAAAAAAGCAGTAATTACTACAGACTTATATTTAGACTTATTTAAATTATAATAATTATAATATATATTATAATTTTTAAACTTATATTTAGTATAGAATTTACTTTATTATTTAAACAGTTACATAGTCTGTTAAAACTTTAATTAATTATTATATTTATAATAATATAGTATTACTAAACTACAGAATACAATTAAAAGACTGTTAATATAAAAAAATATCTAATATATATCTAATTTTATTAGTATCTTATATAAAAGTACTAGTAGATTTTTTTATCTATATTATAATAAAAGTACTAATTTTTATTTCAAATTTATAGTAAAAGAAATATTAAATATACTACTAATGTAAAGTATAGCACAATTAAAGTAGGGCTTTATTTTTATATATTATTAATTATATAGTAATCTAATATTTTATATTGCTAGTACAGGGATTATAAATAGCTATATATTATATAAATAAAAAAAGTAAATTATAGTTACTAAAAGCAGTAAAAATCTTAAAAAAATTATAATAAATAAAAATTAGTATATTATTTAAGTAATTAGGCTTATCAGCCCTAGTATTAGAAAAAAATATAATATAAACAAGCAGAAAGAATAATAGGAATTATATAAATAAAAAAAACAGACTAGTAATAAAAAGAAAAAAAAATATATATATATATAAAAAACTAAAAAGGGGGGGGATGGCCTTTTTATATAATATTTTATATATTTTATATAAAACTAGTAGCTAAGCCTAACCATATTTCTCAAACCAGTTATATAAATAATATAAAAAAAGATTCTATTTATTAGAGAATTATTATATTTACTAGATAAAAAAAATTATATAAAAAAAAGGTATAATAGATAAAACAGGTCCTATCTATATATATATTATCTACTAATTAGCTATAATATTATTTAAAAAGGCTAAAATACAGAACTGTTGCTCTAAATCCTAAACAGCTATTTATATATACAGAAGCTGCAGAAAATAAAAAAAAAGGACTTTTATTATAGGATTAAAGCCTTAATATAAAGCTTAGCTTTAGATATTAGTTGATATTTAAAGTCTTATATACTATATACTAAACTAGTCCTAGCTTAGTATATATATAAAAGAATTTTATATAAACAGATAAAATAGCTCTCCAGCTACTTCTTCTTATTCTAATAAATTATTATAATATATACTTTCTAATTTTTATTTTAGTTATTAGCTTTTATAGTTAACTTCTATTTAATAATAAATATATAATAAATAATATAATTATAAATATTATATTATTGTTTATCTGCAGGCGGATTAATATATGTACTAATTGTTTCGTTTTTATAATATTAGAATTAAAACTTTTTAGATTTTTCTTTAAGTATTTTTTTTATGATACTAATTTCTAGTTTATTTTCAGCATTCATAATCTATTTAAGTAACTATACTTATTCGCAAGATTTAGAAATAAAAGTTCATACTTTTTTTCATTATAAAAAATTTTTTTTATACGTAATATATAGTTTTCTGTAATTAGATTAAAAGAAATACTTCTAATTTAGCTTTATATATTATATTTAGTTATTATTCAACAGGCTATTTTGCAGGATATAAGTAATAAGATTATTAAAGCTAGAATAGTAAGGATTATAATAAATAAATATTTTTTATAAAATCTAAAATATAAATATATTATCTTAAAATATTATTACTAATCCATTTAATTTGTAAAACTATTATTATTTTTATAGACAGTTGCAACCGGCTTGCTTAACTGTTATATAATTAATATCTAAGATCTGCTATATAGATTTTCCTTCGCGATAACCGCGAAGATTGGAAGGGCTGGTTTCGGCCCTTATACTCCTATTTAGATTATTTATAAATATTATAATATTACATACAGCTGTTAATATTTATATAAAATACTATCAAAAATAATAAAATACAAGAAAATAAGATTAATAATTTTCTTTATACTAGAACTGCACCAGATTTAGATTAAATATAAAAAACATATATTTTTTATAATAGAACTAAGTAGCATTTTTAACCGAATTCTTCACTTTTGAATCTATTATTTATTATCTATAAGCTTTAATATTTACTAGATTATAATAGTTCTATAATTTTTATATTCTTTTAGAATCTAGGTATGTTAAGTCTTATATCTACTATATCTTAGTAAAATAAATTATCCATTTTCGAAAAACTATAAAATAAATATATTTTAGACTTAAACTTAATTTCTTAAAAATCGTTCTCATATTATTTCTTACCAATCTTTAATGTATTTATTAGAATCCTTATTTTATTTAATATTTTTTTAGAAGCTGTAAATACCCCGGTTAAATATCATAAAAAAATAATATCATTAATCTAATATATAAGACTTGGGAGTTGTAGCTGCTCATCGAAATCGTGGACGGATTCTGGTCGAGAGGTTTGCCCTGAGCAACATCGAGGTACTTTTTGGTGTATTGGGTGCGAGCAAGGGGCCATTCATTTTCGGGCCGGAACTGGCCTTTCCAAGCTCGATCGCGAACTTCAAGACGAACTCGAGGCCAATTGTCGACTTCACTCTTCTCACCCTTGAGGAACTTCTGGAAGAAAGCCTCCTGACGTCGTACACTCTCAGGCTCGAAGAAGTAGCGCCACTTCTTTTGGCCATGCACTTCAAGCCACTTGTCCTCCGAACTGATGCCGACGAATCCGTTCAAAGTGCCACAAGTGTGCATCCCATGGTCACCCCAGTCGGCAACGACATATGTCGGGGTAGTGATCTTGGACAGATCCTGGACACACTTGGACTTATGGTAGTCATCAAGAAGAGGATGGGCCTTGTTGTTCTCAATAAGATCCTCGACCAGATTGACACCAGCTCGGCAGGACCACTGAGTGAAATGAAGGAACTTGGTCTCTGGAATACCACCATGGTGGGTATAGTCGCGGTAGAAATCAGTGAACCCTTCCCAGGGAACAAAAGCCGCCAGATGCGGAGGGTTCTGAGCGGCGATTCCCCACTGTACAATAGACAGATAGAACACTCCAATCATACCAACTTTTCCGTTAGACCAGGGAAGAGTACCAGCCCATTCAATACAGTCATGGCCATCACGGCTTTCTTGTTGGCTGAAAATGTCGAGGTCACCCTCGGATCCCCACGAGCCGCGACTGTCGCCGTTGATCACCGCATAGCCCTTCCTGGTCCACACCACAGGATCGATGCTTTCCCAAACCCTATATTTCGAAATTCAGCCCTTAGGGACACCGGCGCCAGGAAAAATGTCGAAGGTCTTGGGTCCGTGCTTACCGTAAGGACTGAAGGTGAAGATGATAGGAAGCTTGCCCGTGACACCTTCGGGGCGAAACACATCCACGTAAACCTTCAGACCGTCGCGCATGGTAACAGGCACGTCCCAAGTGATGTTCATGCCATCCGCAACCTCTTCCTTGTTGGTGACCAGAGGAGGGCGGGTCGTGTCTTCAAGGGGAACGTCCTTCTTCCAGTAGAAAGGTCTAACTCCACAGGGATTCTTGCCGGGAACCTCCATCTTCTCTTTACGGAAGGGGGCTCTGGTGGTACAGATGATAGGAATAAGATTTGCTGAGGGTAGAAACAGTCCGTGATTGAACTCTGTGGCTGTCAGTTAGATCTAAAGCGTCGCAATCGCTGTGATATTTATACGTCTTCTATTATGAATTTGCCTGGCCACCTGCAATGCTGTCCATCTATCTGCTCGGTAGATTCTCTCGGATACACGGCATCAATGTATCGATTCGGGCTCTATTGATCCGAGAATTTACACAGTCCGTAGAGCCGGCTTGTCTCGGGGTGAAGATCGACCAACGTTGGAAGCCATGCCGTCATCTCAAGAACGGGAGACACTACTCCGTAAAGTTTCCCAGGCGTCTTCTCAGACGCCGTGGGTCTGGGGGCGGAATGTGGAGTGGTTCCAGAGATGCAACTATGGGGGAATCGCCCAATGACTCGACGGGTCGCGGGGATATTACGGATGTAGAGTCTGATCTTGTGGGGACGAAGATCATCGGACTAACTGTCCGGGGCTTAAGCTCCACTAATTAGTATCTGACACTCGATGTTCTAGATATCGGTTGCCACCACCGAGGCCGAGGCCGAGCAGGACGAGTAGAGCAACCCCAAGAGGCTCTTTAAGATGGCCAGCGGCGTCGCTCACTGAGATGCAAGCCCTTTTGTTCCAACTCAAGTATCACTTTAGTCTTGCCTTCAATACTTTCCAAAGTCTTCGACTCCCATTCACATGTCATGGCGACCTCTTCGGTTATCTCCATTGCTCCCCCAAATCTGGGCAGCTTCCATGTCCCTTTGAGCCCGGCGTCCCTTGCAACGACCAACCAATTTCTTCAGAAGAACCATGATCGTTACCACCCTTTCTTCAACGATCGGGGGTTCCACAATCATATAACCCACTATCTCCTTGCATCCTTGTCACTAGGAGCGACTCCCACTCAGATCACTCGAGCTTTCGAACAAGAAAAGGCCATTCAGCGCGCTCAGTTCCCGCTCAAGCCGGTTAACGTCAAACGCCTAGCCGATCCCCAATTCTTCAAAGAATGTATGGGGAATGAGGAGTTCTATCGCGACTATTTGATCTTTTTCCAAGACGAAATCAAAGAGAAAGGGTTTGGAAATGTTCTGAACGAGTATATTTTCTCTAAGAAGGAAAATGCAGATTTGATGTTTACTCGGCTGTTTGCCAGTAAGTATACTCGTCGGTATGGAAAAGGAAATTGACAATGCTAATATCGGGATCAGGCTTTCTCCATCCTTTGATTCATCTCGGGTACGGGATTGAGTTTAACCAGCCTGCTATATTCGCTGAGGCATTGGGACAGACAGCAGTTCACAAAAACGAGATTTCTATCGTCATGCTCGGAACAGAGTCTGTTGCTTCGGCCCTGACCGGGCCATCTCCCCCACTTATCGAGTTGCTCAATCAGGTGCGTTCGACAGAGTCTATCCGTGATGCCTCTTGCTGGGGTGATGGAAGCTGGATCGAAGACATTCCGCTTACCCAGGCCCCAGAGGCTCTCTGGGAAATCGCTGGCCAGTGGCGAGTTCAACCAGACGAGCTCGGTGTGAAGACAGCCGAAATGATCAATGTCAACGGCTTCATGTGCGGTGCCGCGCAAATGCCTCCCAAGGAGTACAAGCTTGACTTTTTCCTGATCCACAACCTCAATTGCTCAGTCTTCTTTGCATCCTTCCTCAAGCAAAGCTGGTTATCTACTGAAGACAAGATACGTCTGTTGGAATGGAAGGGACGTTTTGACAATTATCTCTTACGCAGCTCGCGGATCCCCTATCCTGGATGAATCCGAAATTCTTAACTACCGGCCCAAGCGCCCGGAGCAAGGCTGGGAGAATCTTTTTCAAAGGGTCAATGACCTGGATGACGATTCTCATGTCACAAAGTTCTTGCGAGGGATTGCGCATGGGGAGCAATTTTGTCAACGAATCAATATCACCAAGGACCGGTTCCCTCTGGCTAGTTCAATTTGCTTGCGTATTGCTCACATGGCTATCGATACCACTGAAAAGGAGCCTGTCGCTAAGAACCGTTGGGTGAGAGGTGCTTGATTCTCTTCCCAATTTGACCACTTTCATGATAGAATGTAGTTCGGCGTGACTGTCATCCAGTCGATCAATTGTGACTTCATCAATTGCACCTTGATCCTGTTTGTGTTGGACATGCGTTTCGAATTTTACCTGATTATTGAATCCTGCTTTTATAAATTTTTATCCAGGTAGAAGTAACATTGAAAAGGACTAGACCTTCAACTATCCGTTGCTCTGTCACTGTGAGAGTGCCGCATGGTTTTCCGTCTTCAAGCAATAGAATCGATTTATGGCTTCTTGGTTTTCATAAAAGGCCCGTTTGAGCTTTTCCAGGTACATGTCTATTGATTGGAAATTGTCGTTCGACTAAAGGACTGATGAATACTCTGTTTTAGATGCAGGAGGTGGTATAGAATATGATATACCTATTAACAGATGAAGAAGGGATCCTAATGATACTTCCAAAGACTATCTTATCACTGGTATAAGCCCGATTACCTGCTATATCGATATTGTTCAACAAGATGAACTTTCTCGGTGTGAACAACAGAGGGCTTGTTGGTATGCTGTTCGTCGGCAGATTGGACCTTGTTCTCAGAAAGAGTGGTAGGATTTGACATCAAAGAATTCGGATCCTAATTTCATCAGCGAGTTCCACGTTGCGAGACTTTGACATGCACTCACCAGTATGAGCCTGTTCGTTTTGAGAACGGGCCTACCGCCTTCTTCCACAAATTCTAGGAGGGCCATAGACTCTCTTGATATGGTTTGATTGTTAGAGAATGTGATTTCGTAGGAGGTAAGGACTGTCAAATCCATCATGTCGCCTCCGTTACTGTACACCTTCTTCGGTACGTGTTTAAGACCTGGAAAAGAAGCCGAAAACCTTAAAATGTGTTGTCTAATCTCTTTAATCAATAGTCAGCATCTGATAACTCTCGTAAATCTTTCTTTTTGGGTATGAACCCAAGAGCTATTGCTGGATGACAATATTTTACCTACCCTCATGACCTTTAAATACTTCCCCAAAGGCCTGGAATTCGCCATTTCTTGGTACACCTGGCTCCATTGGATGGCTGCCTCCGGTGAATAGCCATCGAGAAGATAAAAGAAATTCTCAAGGGCCAACTTGATGGCCTCTGGGACGTTGTCAGGCCAGAGAGTGGCTGAAGACTTAACGTGGGTGGGGGTGGTCATCATGATATTCAGGTGGTTAGATTATTTTAATTGGAAGATAGAACGTGTGGACTGGAGGTGACTGGACTGGAAGGTTATGTATTTAGGGAGAGAGGACAGGCCAATACAGGAGGCCTCTCGTCATGCCTTCGTACCCCGGTTCCCCATGATTTTTCTCTCCCCACGCTTGCAACCTAGTCACGGTAGTTGTGGGGATTGTGGATCCTGCGTCATGCATCTAAGACCGCTTCCCTCCATCATCTGAAAAACAACAGTGTCTCACTCCGGGGGTATTTCGGAAATCGCTGCCGGGGTATGCAACAGCTCGGGTCTCCCTCCGAAGACGTGGCTGATCAACATGTCATCGTCCTGCTTTTGCGGGTTGGGTTCCGACCAGGGCATTGGATAGTTTTCCTCAATGTGAGTAAATGATTTTCCCGTTTCTGAGCACCTCCCATGTCTCAACGAGACAAATTCCATGTTTGTCTATTCAACTTAGTGCTTGACTCCATTTGTACGGCCGAGAGTACCTTTCTTGAGGTAGGAATTGTTACAATTAAGAGAAGCAAAGGAGAAGCTACAGTCTCTTCTTAGAGGATTATATTCTCTATATCAAATTCTGACTGTCTACAAAGCGCTCCTCTAGCCATCTCTTAACCTGATTCATGCTGCAAAGCTTTCAGTAGATGAGTCACGCACTGGGTAGAAAGGCGGGCTCACCGACATCCACCCCGGTCGCGAAAATACCAGATACTTGTCCGACTCTTAGATCCATAGCCATGCCGATGATGCTCGAACACTGAGACCACAGCGTAAAGTGGGTGTTTTGACTTTGCTTCCGCGTTGCTTCTCTCCTTTTAAACCGTGTCTATGTCCCCCGTGTACCGCATGTTAAATCGTGCCTTCCGGATCCTGTAGCCCTGCGCCATATGCCCAGACTTAGTCAAGGCGCCACATGTTTAGCCAAGCAGGCGGGGAGCCGGGCAAGTCAAAGTCAATAGCAAGTCGGAAGCGCAGTATTGATGATTCCTCGTAATCGTCTTGGCAAACCACCTGGGCATGCTCAGTTGGGGGGATTTGGGCGTTGGGGAATCACTCATGTATGGCGTATTGTGATTTAGATTTCATGACCAAAGCTGCGGTGCGTTCCTTCATGGGAAGTTTTTCACATGCGCTTTCTTCATTTTAGCCATCAAAGCGCAGCCGCCGCGGAGCTTCCATAGAAACATCTGTGCTGTACACTCCTTAAATCTCCTGTACCTGGATGTCCCTACCTCGGATCAACATATGGTGAGAATCATCATCGGAACACCATAGACCCTCCAGGGACATGACATTCCAAATTCAGCGAAAAATGGCCTAGTATATGCAAGAATCGCTGAATCTATCCCTTATAAATGATATCTCCACTTGTCCAATGGCCTTTGAGTAGCTCTATTTCCAGACGGAAATGACCCAGCTTTCAGGCCAAACACATCATCGATGCAGGAGGTGCTCCGAAACGATTATAAACTATATTGTTAGAGTCTGGAGCCGCAGATCCGTAGGTTATATCTATTCCGAAGGGTATGTCCCTGCTGTTCCCTGTACATTTTCCAACTGACTTACTGCCGTGGCTTCAAGCGGGATCCTTTTCCTAGAAGAAGGCTCGCGTTTCTCTTTGCAGCCACTGGACACGGTCTCACTTCATAGTATGTCTTTATCTATTCTATCTTAATCGCTACACTGCAACATGACTAATGCATTGCAGAGTTTAACAAGATACTGGACAAGTATTATAAGTCATCTGCAACTTGTACTGAAGTTAGGGTTTGGATGGACGCGAATGAGCAATATAAGGCCTTTGCGGATAGTGCTTCAGAAGACTGGATGCAAGACGGCACATAGGCAGAGTTTCCACACCGACAAATTTCTCTGCAGCTTCGAGTCTCTATGAATGCAATGTCAACTATTCCGAGCACTCTATTAATACAATGCGAGAATGTAGACGAGCAGGTTGTTGAGACATGTATCTACCACGTGCGGTTTTTACCTCTCAGAATCGCAATTCTCCTCGACGAAATACTGCCCCGTATTAGTGAAGAAAGTTCGTATATCTCGCCCAACGTTCAGATGATAGTCGTTTCTGGACAAGCAAAAGCAATGAAAATGGCGAAGGATGTGAAAATAATCGTACTGTGCCTGGACCTCAAAATATTCTTATACTTCGGCTATGCGCTTAAAAGATCAAGCCGAATCTCAGAGAATGGGTGTTTATCGAGATATCAACTTCGATCTACGCTCAACTATCAAGCAGTATATAGGGTTACTCATTTGATCCTTTAGAACATCTCATAGTGGCATTGAATCTCAATCCTCTATATCAATATAGCGCAGCCTAACCTTCAACCACGACTCCCCTCACTCCTCCGGTCTTCCGCACGAATGCCACACCATATGAAGCGGCGAATACCCCATCTCAGGCAGCCAATGGTCACGGACGGTGCGCGCGCAATGCCGCATGTGCTCCATGTCCAGCGTGGTGTTATCCCAGACGCGCCGCTGCCGGAACCCGCGAATGGACATCTCGAGGAAATACGCGCAGTGCGCCATGTGGAACTCCTGGTTCGAGAAAACCACCGGGTGAATGCCGCGGCGGACCTCCGTCAGAGTTGTTGGTTGCTGCATCGCGCGGTCGAGCCAAAAGGGATACTCGACCTCAGCGAGGTAGCTCTCCATCAGCTCCTCGTCGAAGCAGTCCGCTGGTACCCAGGCGACGAGAATCACGTCGTAGCGACAGCCCTTGGAGATGGCTTCCTCGGGGGAACTGCCGCAGTCGGTCCAGTGTGCGGATGGCCTTGGTAAGTGCCCAGTATGGGGTAAGGTCGACGAGGAAAGCTGTGGAGGGGAGAGAACTGGGCCCGGGGCGCGGAGCTGGTGGACAAGGTGGTCGTGTTGAAGAATGACAATATAGGCGATGAGGAAGGCGATCAAAGTTGATAGAAGGATTAGGTGCAGGGCCCTACACAGTTGCTGTCCACAAGAAAATCCCCAGCAGGAATTTCTTTCTAAATTGTAGTAACGACTCGTTCTTGAGTGGCCATCGAGTAGGCTTTCAGTCACGGCATCAGACATGCGCTCGTTTGCCTCTTCTTTCTGCGGGCGTACCATGACTGCGATCTGACTGTACTGACGATAGATGCTTGTGGACAGAGCTCAAGCAGGGAGTATGGGAATAGGCCTGGACGACAGATGCAGCACACAAGACAGAATCACTCCGTGCTTTAGGGGACGTCCAACGTTCTCACGCGTTGGAGGGCCCGACACCCAAGAACCTTTTCCCCCGCAGGCTGCCGAGTATGATTACCTTGGACACGGCAGTTCTGCAGAATCAATCACCTATCATATCTCTCTCTGTGCTGTCAATCGCAATCCTGATTTCGAGTTTACCTTGTGGAAGCCTGAATTCAGTCCGACTCTGCATCCATCCATGCATGAGAGCCTGGTACGATTCTCACATGGTAATTTGAGGATGCGGTGTACTGTATGAACTGTACCTGTACTATCTTACCGCATGTCACATACAAGTGGTAATGTAACCGTCACACTTTAACGTCTTACCCCGTACGAAAGATACCACATTGACGCCCCACAGTTGTGAGGCGATCACTTCGATCGGAGTCCGAGTGACATTAACATAGACTCTCTGACAAATATCGGCTTATAGACTCGTCTGAACTGATGGTATATCTCAATAGATGGTCATTCATGCGAGCTGACAAAACTGCTGCGAGGGCTCATTGCGAGGGCTCATAGCAAGCTTTGTTTGGCGGTATACTGTTTATTCGAAGAGAGGTTTGCTCTATCTTGCACGCAGTAATTGTTTGTGCATGATTTACCAGTGAGATTTTTCATCCAATTGGTTTCGCATTATTATTCTGTTGCGATCTAACGATTCTCCGTCCATTCGAGAATCCGCTCAAACTTGCGACAGGTGTGCGTGGCCTCAATATCAGCTAACAGTTGCCCCGCATGTTCATTCCACACCTTAGGCACCGGGGTTAGATCCCCTGCGCACTGAATCTCTTGTCGCAAAGTCTCGATGCAATGGTCTAGTTCGACCGACTGCTTAGCTTCAACTTTTCCCCTGCACTCAAAGCTCGACGCGGGTAACTTACCCACGTGCAACCAGTATTCGGGGATATGCGGACGAATCTCATGAATGGAAGGATAGTAATCATCGTAGATAGCTTGCCGTAGGTAGTTCTGGAGGGTGTCAATCATTGGCAAGCTGGTGGGGAACAAGGGGGTTTGCATGGCCCACCAAGCAGTGAAGACTATGCTGAACGGCCGTGCTTTTTTCAGGGCAATCAATCGTCAGCAAACAAGGTGCTCTGCTACCCGGGAAAGTATGGAACTCTGCTCACGCAGCCAAGTAGATGCCATCGTGCTCCGATATATCTCCCTCCACACTCTCAGATTCCTCTTGCGTGAGAGGAATGAACTGTCCTGCACAGTGGCGGAGAAGTCAGTACTTTCAACTTTATCACCTATATTTCCGTGTCAAAGGCCCGACTCACCAGCCAAACGATCCCAGGCCGCATCCAGCTCGCGCGTGGGCTTCCCAACGTATCGCACCTTATCGGCGGGGTTGAAATGCATGTAGAACGTGCCATTCTCATCGGCTTTGATCCCGCCCCAGAATCGGACTCGTTCCAGCTCGATCTGCGGTATGGCAGCCTCTACGGATTGAGTCAGCGGCCAGCCCAACCAGATATGTTGTGTTTAAAGTGCACTTGATGGGCAGGAACTCACGCATCTCGGTCGCGTATCCAACCTCGTAGCTCTGACCACCGGACGCCGGATACGCGAGCAGAAGGAGGACGAGGAGGCATGCGCCCAGTGTGAAAGTCGAAATCATCCATGGCAGCGCTTCGGGTCTTGTCTCTTCGAAACGTCTCTTCTTGTGGGGCTCAGAAGGAAGGAAGAGTTCCTCCTCGCCGTCTTCATCGCTCGTAGGAATGATCATTCGGCTGGGCTGCGTACGTCGCCAACCAAGTAAATGTTGGAGTCCCATCATCTTGGTAGCTGATCCTGCACAATTCAACCTTTGTAAGCTTCTGGGTAGTGGGAGATGTTCAGTTCTGCACTGGCGTGCAATGCAGAAAGGCACGATTGAAAGTTGTGAGAGACACCCAGTATCATAGGCTGTGGGGAGAGGGTCTTCTCGTTTCCGCTTCACTTGGACTCGGGACCGGAACGGGGAAGTAGAGCCGATGTGTCGTTCTCGCACAGCAAAACTTCAAGACGTAAATCGAGCCCTTGGGCGGTTACTCCTTCGGGTAAATGCCATGACAACGAAGCAGGGTTGCATTGCAGTGGAGTTAGAATCTGTTTTGCAGGTTCCTGTCCCGTGTTTAAAGTATTACCCCGATGTGAGAAGACGGTAATAATACCACCGCCGGGAACAATTCTTCTGACAGAGAAATACAGGATGCTTAATGCAGGGTATTATGCAGGCTCGGACATGCATGGTGTCAGACACAGTAAAACAAGGCTTTTGACGAAGCTTGTTATCTCTAGCAAGCACAACGTGCGGGGTCGATTTGCGTGCAGGAGTGAGGGTAGTCGATAGCCTCCCCCTGTTGCCCCCGGCGAGCAGGGAGGGGAAATACTCACCACGCACAGTGACAGCCTGTACCTGTGTGCATTGTATCTATTCGAGCTTTCTTCTCTGGCAAAGTCCATGCTCAAGGAAAGCCAACCACCGCACAATTAAACATGTCACTCAAACAGATGTCCATTGCTCGCCCTTTCACCAAAACTGATTATCACCGGGCGCCATCCACCGAGGATGCTGCAGACGTCCTGGGCACATCCGAGGGGCATTCCCCCCAACGCAAAAGGCTGCGGGGAGCAGCCTTTACACTTATCAACATAGTGTTTCTCGCGATGAATCTCGGCTTCTTTGCATTGATCTACAAGCACAGAAATGGCAAAACACCGGAGATTGACTTCGTCATTCGTACGTCTCCCAGGCGTGACGGGTCGGGGTGCCAGACTGATTGAGTATCATATAGCGCAATTGCAACGGGTCCTGAATCATGAAGTCGAAATTATTGATGTTGGGATCGGACAGACTTCTCCGTACGCCCAAGATACCCCGGAGGCCGATCGACTATGGCGTGAGATCAGTCAAGATGGGCCATGTACGTTCATTCTTGGGCGAGAACCGCTCTGAACCAACCTCGTTAACACCAGTTCTCCAGACGGATGGATCAAGGTCGACAAGGCAGACCTTGATCGCATCAACCAAACGTCCGTGCGCTTGGAGGACGGATCAGGGTATCTTGCTGGGCTGGAAGTGTATCATGAGCTGCACTGCTTGGTGAGAATGTCTGCGTTGGCCACGTCAAGCGACTGCTAATTATATCAATCTAGAATTGGTTCCGCCGCAAGATCCTGGGCCGTGAGATCAAACTCCAGGAGGATCCGACGCCCGAGTACCATCTGGGCCACTGCCTCGATATTCTGCGACACAGTATCCAATGCCACGCAGATCTGAGTCTGATGCCCGTTCGCTGGGTCGAGGGCTATCCCTTCCCGTGGCCGGTCTTTCAAACCACCCGCACCTGCCGGAACTGGGACGACATCTTCGCCTGGACGAAGGAGCACTCCATCGGCGCTGCCGGGCGTGTGGTGCATCCCCATCTCGGACCCGTCGACGGGAAGGACTTTGACCCGGAGACGTTGCCTCGTCCGGGCCATATTGTCTACATTGATGAGGACTAACTGACAGGAGAAGGTTGCAGAAAGTAGTGCTCATGTCGGATGTCAGACTGAATGCTAGAGTACACCCTTCGCCACGATCTTTTCACTAGTCACATGGTTTTTGTCACGCAATCAATATCCTCATTCCCAAAACCTTCTAGTCCCTCGTAAACACGGCTCCTGTAGCAGAATGTTTCCGACTCCAATCCAGCAGCGTCTCATAGTTTCTACACTGATGCAACACACTAAAGTCCGCCTCGTAGCTCTCGGTATCATTCCCCCATGCGTACGTCACGATACTCGCATCGGCATCACTGTCGCTGGGTTAGATAGAGCGGATCACGACCGGTGAAGGACAACACATACCACATAAGCTTCTGCCTCAGTATTTCCGTACAGTGGTCTGAGTCCGTCGTCAGCCCAACGCACCCAGTACAAATTGCCGGGAAAACACTCACCCAGACGGGCGTGATACTTCTCCGGGTTGTGGAGCAGGAACTTTCTTTCTGGTTTATAATAGTCCACATACGACGCCCGAAAGAGGTTATACTAGCTGGAATCAGGGCGATGCCAGCATCTGGGCCATTTGAGCGAGGTAACCAACCAAGCAATGTAACTGATGGGTCGACTCGAAAGTCGCGAAAAAGCCCTGGCTCGTTGACGAGACACCGTACACCCCCGCCTGGCGGTCCCGGGGCTGGGAGAGCGCATACTCCCGCTCGGAGATCAGCATATTGTCGGCCCACAGACTGTTCCACATTTCGTCGACGGCGGGAGAAGGTGGCCCTCTGAAGGGGCTGGGGGTATCGGGATGACCCACGAAACGAGTGAATTCGTACTCGTCCTCTCCGTACACGGGCATCTCGAGAGTCGCTCGTTGACTGCTGACTCGGGCTGTGGGGAGCAGACAGGGAAGTCGAGTTGACGCCATCCAAGTGCCACATAGGATGCAGAATAGAAAGAATGCCAAGTGGAATGCCCATTGTGCTGGGGACACGTGGGGTGGGTTGAGCCAAGAAGGAGTTTTGAGGTGCATGGCGAGGTGGGATCAAAGGCTTTGCGGGTTGGGGTCAATATTTGGGACACGCAGATTGAAAGATATGTTTCAGTTTGCACCGGATACCGCCGCTATTTATGGCCAACTGCAGTAAGACTGGCCCTGACCGTGACTACAGCCTACTCAAAACCCCTATGTCAATGTCGGTATCAACATCTACCACTCAGAATACAACTTGCGCCTTTTGCTGTTATTCCAAACTTTTCAATTGGCTATCTCGTCGGCTAGGTGATGGCTCTTTCAGTCACCTGATGTCCAGACTGCTCAATTTACCCAATGTAAATATTCATACTGAAATCACTATCAAACCCCAGCGTGAACTATCTACCGTGGTACCTATGCTGGGAACACATCAGGAATGACCGTCATGCGCAGACGCGGGATCCACTGTTCTGAAAACCTCATGCTGCTTGGCCCAATCCACCAACCTATCCCATTTCCGGCACTTGTGCAGCGTATTGAAGTTCGGATCTTCCCCAAGCTTTCGATTGGGATTGAGCTGGATCAGGTATGGGGTCACGTCAGCCGTGCACATGAGATTGATGCGCAGGGTCTCGATGCAGTGATCCACATGGTGCCGCACCAGCTGAGGGGTCCCGTCAAAGGACGGAAGAGCGCTATAATCCCACTGGTCGCGGTATGTGTATTGACGGATCAGATTCTACGTGGTGTAGGAACACCAACTCGTTAGCCGCCGTTTCTGACCAAATCGCTGGAGTCAAACACCTACCAAGCAGTGAATCTGATGGAACCCCTCCAGCAGGCCAGCCACACCGCCGCCTCGCTCGTGCGATATCTCGCGCCACCCCGTGGTGGACTTGTTGAGTTTGGGTAGCATCTCGTGCGGAACGCTGAAAGCGCCGTCTGGAGATTTGTTAGGACCTGTGTCAAAATGCTTGGCAAAGAAAGATTGTGGAGACCTACAATCCCAGAGCTCATCCCACGCCTTCTCCAGCTCGACAGAAGGAGGACCGCGATAGACGGACTGGTGGAAGAAGTCATTCTCGAACGTCTTCCATTCATACTCGACGGCCTCCATGGCAGGTGCTGGTACGTGTCCAGCGTTAGTCAATCAGTCACATTCGTTTCAACACCGGAGCATATCCTTACAAACAGCATTCATATGCTGCGCGCATGTCCGATCGTTGACACGATACTTGGCCGCTACAAACAGATTCACAAGAGACGTCAAAAAAAGAACGAGGGGCAAAACCAGACAGATCCAGCCGCGATAGCGAAGTTTCGCCCGCCAGCCGGATATGGGAATTGAGGTCTCATCGCCCAGGTCCGAGTCCTCGGAGGGGACTTGGGAATATCGTTGGCATTGTTTCGACATGATCTTGAGGAGAAAGGGGGATGGAGGATGAAGTGGTCGTCGAGAATGAGCAGTAAGCGGGGAGAACGAAAGACCCTGTGTTCATCTTGACATTAGGGCTAACTGAAGTATCGTGAGGTACATACACTCACAAATGACGCATAGACTCCTCGGACGGCTCGGAGTTAGGCTGCGTCGATCAATCCTGTGCCGACGGAATCCGATGCATAACCCGGACCCTGAAACCACTAAGGAGAGCTCCAATCAGGGTCTACTGATAAAGTGTTTCTTTACAAAGCCAGTAGATCACGTCAGAACGAAGAAACACAATACTTGTATGTATCAGTCACGTCCCGTCTCGTTGTAATACTGTAGACCGCGCGGCTGATCCAGACCGACTACGTGACCGTCACAGATGCAGGTAACAGCTTGCTCAATACTGCTGAACACCAACCGAGGCTTGCATGTAGACACGGATTCGGACGTTGCAATTGCAAGGAAATCTTGTAAAAGGTATATGAGATTGAACCAACGTGGGATACCCCAAGCCATCGCAGCGTGCTGAGCAGAAGACAACCATGCATCACCTCACATTCTGGCTCTCCTTGATTCTCCACATTGCTAGTGGTGCTATGGCACAGCGGTATCAACTGGTACTCTCATGACTAGCAGTCCCGGGGCTCTCGACGGCATGATTGCTAACTATACTAGAATCAATCGCACTGGAGACAGTGTGTGGAGGCCTTCGGTCCCGCCAGCCTTTCGCCAGGCACCTTGGCATCCGGGGCGTATTCGCGGTCTGCCATATCTCTCAACTTTGCCAACCTGGTGACCGCAGAGAAAGATCCTATCGTCAGCGTTGCTATTTTCCGCAAGATTGACGGACAGTTGGGCGGCAGAGTCATCAACGGAAAGGCGAGTGGTGCGAGCCATGAATCAGTATTGACCCATAACTAACCGCTAATAGATGCACTATGTCTGTGATAGCAAAGCAATCGAAGCTGGCGCATGCCGCCCAGAAAGCTACGGCGCCTTCATCGGCCGTTTAGAAGACGCAAAGCACCCAATCCTGACGGAGGCTGTACACATCTCACAGTACCCTAGCACCATCTATTTTCCTCTCACGGGGTCTGGCTCATACTGCGTCGAAGCAATTGGCTTCACGGCGTCCACTTTTAGCGCTGTCATGCGCTTGCATTCCGCGTATGGCCATCTTCCCGCTATACAAGTGGGAAAATGGCATTTCATGGCCTTCTGCTTTCTGACCAGCTTGTGCCTGAGCGTTGCGGTCGCAATCAACCATTTTAAGGGTCGACCGTCGATGGAAGTGCACCGATCCAGACTGTTCGTCTTGGTAATCTGCTTGGTTTGCCTCGACGCCGCGATCGCCTGGGCGAACCTCACTTACATCAACCGCCACGGTTACCAGTATGCCTGTGAAACGATTTGGACCCTGAATATCATACTACGAGCGTGCCGGAATGCAGCCGTTGTATCCTTTGCTCTTCAGTCCTTGCGACCCCGACCCAGTCAAGACAGGTCGTCTCCGTGGGTGGCTTACGTCCTCGGCGTAGCTGCATTCGCCTTTACCGTAGGCCGCGAGAGAGAGATGCTACGCGATCGGAACGAGTCTCACGACGCGCTGCAACTTTTGTGGACTCTCGGAAGCGGGGTCGTCCTTGTGATCTCCCATATCGAGTGCCTCCGGAGGACGATGAGTCTGCGCCGGCAGCCATTCAGAGAAGGGAAGGGTACCCGATCTCGTGCAGCGCACTGCACATCGTTGGCGATGGCGATTTTCACATTTTGCTTCCTGATACTCGATGCCGTACTTCTACATTTGTGGAGCAGAGCCGACGAGTACGGACACAACTTACTAACCCGACTTTGGTGGGCGCGATGGTTTCTGGTCGACGAGTGGCAAACCATCTCTTGCTTGGGTTTGGTAGTTGTTCCTGCTTTGGGCGCTTAGCTGCTCTGGATTTGGAATATCAAGAGCATGAAGTACAGCCGGGCCTTAATTGAGATGTTGACTGTGTAGTCTAGCTGATCAATTGACATCATGGTGGACAGCGGCGCAACAGCTGGGAAGCCACAACCCTCAAGCCAGTAAAGGGAGAACCTCCCAGCCTCCTGCTATCTTTTTCCACTGATATATAAACTGTAGAAGCTTTTGTTCCCCTTTAGTACAGCTTATTAATATTAATTCTTAAGGCTGACCCAGCCCACCTGGCCCTTTTAAGCGCCCGAAAGAGATCATACTGGTAGAATATCCTACAAAAGCAGTAACTGCACAGATAGCACAGTCTCCCAGTCTAATAATAATATTAATACTATACTTACTAAATATTATATTAATACCTTCTAGCCCTACAAGTTATTAAGTATAAATCTTTACTGCAGCAGCTTTTTTATTATTTATAAACAATCTTAGTATCTCCAGTAAGTCAGTTTAATCAGTATATACTATAATATATTAGCTTTAGTATCAGTTAAGGTACCAGGTCTGTTAGTCTTTTTATATAGCAGTATTACAATTAAGGTATAATTCTTATCCTATTTAATCAGTTCTAAAACTGATTATACTTTTGGCTCCTCTAGTATAAAGCAGAATATTTTAAATAGCTTTAGAAACTTATAGGCTGTTTGATATTAGTTCTATATACGAAAATTCTACAGCAGATTCTTTTATATATAACAGAGTAGTTTATACTCTAATTTTTATAGTACAGCCTTTTTATAGTCGGCAACTCTACCGGGTAGATAATACAGCCTTTTTACTATATAATCTATAATCTTATTTACTTATAGCTATTTAACTATAGAGCATTAGTAGACAGTATATTAAATTGAATAAAAATATAATCTATAATTTACTGCTCTATATCTAGGTCTGGTAACTCCTAAAATATTGTTATGGGATGAACTTAGATTAGTTCTAACCTAAGCATGCTGTACAAATAAGAAGGAATAGTTAGAAAACAGAAAGATTACAGAGGTCCGGTGGGAAGATAAAGAGGCTGCAGTCACATGCAGCAAGTGTTGCAGGTCTGTCCCGTAACAAATATAAAAGTATTTTATATAAAAGGATTAATAAAGCCGACTAATACATCTGTCTATTCCACCAGCAGTTTGTACTTTACTTTATTTAAAGTATATACCACCAGTGCGAGGTCCCCAAAATACTACACTATAGCCCCTATTTTATTAAAGTCCCTACTTAAAAAAAGACCTCCTTTAAAGAACTGAGCTTTATATAACAGTAATAGAGTACAGTTCTATATAATTAACAAGTATATAAACAGAGCCTATAATCTCTGTACTTAGAGCCAGCAGTATAAAGCCTGCTGTAATATCTACAGCTGATTTTAATAAAAACCCTTCAGACCCCAAGCAACTAATAAAGATATTGTCCGGGCGGAACCCCCCTATAATATAGAAAAACTAGGTCTGGCTATTTACAGCCGACTAATCTATAGTAATATAAATCACTTTAAAACCACAGAACTCTGTTATACTTACTTTAGCTAAAATAATTATTTCCTAGTTAAGTAGAGATTTAATAATGGCTGTATTAGTATATCTGTAGGTATTCTAAAAGGCCACAGTCCCGGCAGTGGTATGGAGTCCCAACATATATAATATAATAATAGTATTCTTAATAATAATTAAAACTCTGTAAAGCGGGCTGCAGATGCAACCCTAAGCTTACTCGCAGTTGCAGTCGGCGGCCTGGGCCAGGGCTGTTGCAGGATTAACAGAAATCAACATATATAGCTGCAGGCCGGTATGGTTATACTGGTTGATCTGTGCCAGATAGGCCTGGATAATATTGTGACTTATTGTGTAGCCCTTCTGTAGAAGATGGCTTAGCTGCGTTGCAGTGGCAGTTAGTACATTCCACTTGGTCATCTTGTTTGAGTGATTGATTCGTGATTAGTGGGAGGGTAAGTCCAGAAGACTGTGAAGTGCGGTGTTGGAAGTGCGTCACTGGTTTCATAAAGAAGGTAGATGGAGTTTGGTGCAACTATTCTTGTATCTGACATGCTTGTTTAAGTGTTCGACCCCGCATCAGAAGGATCTTGTTGTAATTAGGCTAGTGCTTATTATTGTTGCAGGTGGTGTCATCGAAAGATAAGGTTAGAAGGGTAGGCTGTAACTTATGCATGAAGTGTACTGTATTGTACTCATGGGCTAAGACTTCTTGTAATACAGATCGTACAGTACATGTTTCTGACGGTCACAAACCTCTACTGCATTATCAGCGGCACGGCGGGCTTGAAGATGAAAATCCCTCATCAGAACGAAGTGGACTTCCCATGGGAATTATCAAAGAGCTATCTACTCGGTAACGAAAACTGACATAGTGCGGTCGTCGGGGGCTAACCTCGCCGCCTGGATTGCTCGTGATTGCCGCGACACTGTCTGCGGCCGTCGATAATCACGCCAAACATCACGGACGAGAGCAAAGTATGAGGGGACGAGATCAGGTACTTCACTCATACCAGGACTGCACCGGATCCAGGTTCGATATGGAAGGCACACACTCCTGCAGTAGAGCCAAATAGCTTCCTTCAACCGAATCTCCGAGCCTCGGGCCCGCCACCCATTTGCCTGCAAGCTCTGATACCTACCAGGTTGTGATGTCTCTATGATTCTCATATTCCCTTGAGGCCCGGACATATAAAGCCTTGTGTTTGCCACACCTTGGTGGAGAGTGTCATCCATCCTGAAAAGGCCGTGAAGCGGATTCATCTTAGACTTGACTTCATCCTCCAAAAACCTTAACCATATTACCCCTCGTCAACCTTCAATATGCTTACTAGAACTCTTGTTCTCCTCTTGATCGCCTCTTTGGGTGCTGTGGGTGCCCCGGTCAAGCGCGACGAAGAGGGCACTGTCGTCGTCGACCCGGCGCGTGAGATCATCTGGAC